CAGCAGGAACTTGTGGATAACTATGGCAAAAAATCTGGGAGAGGAAGAAAATGCCAGCTTGAACTTGCCTGTGCATGTCTTGAGTGTCAGTGCTGCCTCCTGCCCAGAGGTCTTACGGCTTGTGCTCTGCAATCAACAGCAATTCCAGCACTAGCTGTGAAAAACCTCCAGCTTTACATCACCTCAGAGGACCAGAACTGCCCTAAACTCACCCAAAAGAGAAAGGAACTGAGGCACAGAGTAGCTGTGGAATTTCCCAAAGCCACACTGGGGCTGGTGGCAGAGTCAGTATTAATGCATTGGGTTTTCTGGCCCAAGTCATTATGGCCTTATTTGTCCATCTGTTACCTAGTCCTGACTCGTCCAAACCTTTCACAAGTCCTATTGCTCCTTTAAGAAAAAACAACACCACTGACCAACCAACAGTAACAAACATGGCTAGGTTCATATATATATTTATATGTGTGTGTAAATATATAAAAATATATTATGTATTATATATATATTTATATTTAGAGCTGTCATTGCATGTGCTGCTCCAGTCAAGGTGTGGCTTCTCTGCAACCAAAGCTGATCCAAGCACAGACTGCAGCAACTCCACCTCTCCCTCCCTCAGCAGCTGCACATTCTTAACCCTTCCCAGGAACAACAGATTGTGCAACTGCCCTTTTCTCCCTTTCCCAAACTCATTTATGGAACTGATTCACTGAAATCCAGAACCACCAAATGAAAGAGGTCCTCTTTGCTGCACTACCTCCTTGGAGGCGCTTGCTGTGCAGCTGGAGACTGAGAGTGGTAGTGGATGCAAGTGAGGGGACAGGAGCCTGCAGCTAGGCAAGGAAGGAGGAGGGATTCAGACAGGCTCAAAGGAAGTGCCATAGGACTGGATCCTTGGAAATTTTGGGCAATCTGTACTACCTGCACAAATTGCTGCATGCTCACTGTGATCCCTACTACTGTGTTTTCCCTCCTTTTTTACTGAACTCTTTTAGTAAGGGGTGAGGCTAATAATGAGAATTTGAGATACTGTCCTGCAACAGGTTCCAAATCATCCCCAAATCAACTGCGGAGTGCCCAAGGCCATGGCATCCCCCTGGCTCTGTCTACCAGGGCTGCTCCACCACGTCCAGGAAGCAAGGACCACATTTCACCGTTCTTCTCTGTGCACGTCAGAGCTGTCACACTGGTACAGAAAGTGCTTTTATCAGGACAACTGCAGAACATTTCAATGCTGGTGTACTCATCGGAGGTTCACCCGCCACCACTCATAACAGACCTCTATGGCTCATCATTAGTAAAAATGCAGAGAAGCCACAGGTCAGAATCTCATTCCACACCACACACAGAGAGAGGAAGAAAAGAGTACTGCTTCAAAGCTACTGTCAATCCCAGGGATCAATTACATGCCAGTCACACAGGTCTTTCATACTGAGGTTCCCACTCTAGGGGACCGTAGCGCTGGGAACTGCTTCAGCAGTTCCCACTTCCCAGAGAAAAGCTGCCAAGAGGTTTCTACTCAAACCAAAAATGACTAAATTGTTAAATTTACAAAATGACTGTGTTTACCAAGAGCAGCAGGTGTTTAAAGGGAAGACATTCAGGGTTTGGGGCAATGTCTAGAAAAAAGCAGGATGCTCACATGGCTGCTGCAAAATCCGTGAACATCGTTGAGCGAGGAATCCACATGCCAATGCATGAAGTGGTAGCAATCACCTACAGAGAAAGGGAGGGGGGTTATACAAAGGGCAGTGATAAAGCAGGTTCATGTGGATTTTCAGGGAAGCCCCGTTTTCAACTGCAATTTTATCTCTTTTCCATGATGACTTACTGGAGCTGCAGCATTAACCCAAATTATGATCGATCTTTTGGAGGTGGGGATTTTTCTGTAGATGTAGACTGCTTCCTCTATAAACACCAGGTCAGCAATTAGTGTCATCAGAGTCAAGATTGCAAAGAGAAATCTCCCAGGTAGGTCAAGGCCTGCAGAAAGACAGAACAGAAATTTCTGACTCATTTCATTAGCATTCCAACTGTTTAATGTAAAGGCACCATCTCTGAGGGTCTCCTTAGCCTGTTACTTGCACTTATTCTTAGCTACATTGATCAATCATTGATTCCATAGGATGATTCAAATACTTACACTTAAGTTCACGACTAAAACTTTCCAGGATCCACAGACAGCACAAGGGAAAAATATGCCTTCATGTTCTCAAAGCATTATGCAGAAGTCCCCTTCAGAAGGTGGAATTCCAGAACAAACACCCTTAGATTAATGTAGGTACGTAACAGAATATAAATAAATACATCATACAAATAAATAGAGTAAATACATATTGAGGGAACATTTCTGGGCAGACCTCACGCAAAAACGTATTTACTCGATTATTTGTTTCCATTGTGTGCTCACAGGCATGTTTGTCCATAACTCCTTCAGGCATGCAAACCTTTCAGAGCCTCGGTGAAAGTTTGTGGGACACCCAGCCAAGTCAGGATGAACCCTGACACACCCAGCCCGAGATAAAACTTGATGCCTTCACCATATTCTTTTTTACTTCTTCCTTAATTCTGAGTATGGGCATCAACATTTACCTACGGTTGATGGGTTTGTGTCTCCCTTGACGCCGGGTATGGACAGGAACTTTTACCCGTGGCTGATGGGTGAACTGTCTTCCAAAAGAGGTGCTTCGGGAGACAGAAGCCCTGCACTGGAGCCGCGCTCGATCTAGGAGGATGTCGCTCAAGGCTGGTCCTCACACCCAAGAGCACACGAGGAGCCCCCCAAGCCGTGCCCGCCAAGGAGACCCTTTTCCCCGGCCTCTCTCA